CATGTTTGGTGGGACGGGGATGCGAACTCGCGACCCGCAGATTGCGAGTCGAGTGTCTTAACCACCTGGCCATGAGTAAATTAATACAGAACATCAAATTAAGAATATTCTCTTGGAAGATATATATTAAAATGCAGGAAATGTTTGAAGAATAAAGGTTGCAAAGTCAATAATAAATGTTCGTTTGTTTAAGCTACACAATGGGTTATATATGCTGTACCCACTGCAAGAATCAAACCCCGAATTTTAACTTTATAATTTCTCAAGCTTACCAGTGAGTCAGTAGAAGAATGAAAATAAATGATAAAACTTAATATTCCAAAATATAAGAATAAACGATGCAACATTAAAAAAGAGGAAGAATTATTCAAAGTGTAAATAAACCAGTACGACAAACATTTCAAAACTGAAAAAAACAACAGAAAACAAAGGATACATGTTGAAAAGTTAAAATAACTCTAGAGGATTAATAAACGTTACAGACAGACAAAGCTCAGAGAATTTGTTACAGAATAAAATGTGGGTAAGTGCCACAAAGTAAAAACAAAAAAGTTGCAAAATAAAAAAAACTTTTCTAGAATAAAATAGATTAAGACTGACGTTGTAAATGAAAACACATTGAAGATCACTGTTTGAAATTTAGAAAAATACAATGACGATGAGTGTTACAAATAAAAACTAAGGAATCAGTTTGTAAAATAAAAATTATATAAATGAAAGGTAAGTTTTACATAATTGAAAAAATCCATAAGTAGAAAAATATTCTGGTTTGTTTCTTTATAATTAAGCGCAAAGCTACACAATGGGCTACATGTACTGCGCCCACCAAGAGTATGGTAATTCGATTTTTGTCCACATACTTATCGCTGAGCCACTGGGGGGCAAATTATTTTGTATAATCACTGTTGTAAAGTAATATACATCGGAAAAAGCCTTAGAACAAATATAATGGTGATTAATGTTATAAATGAAAACCACTGATGATCGTTGATTTTTTTCAATTTGGAAAAAATTAGGATTAATCGGTATTGCAAAGACAAAAAAATTCAAGGACTAACGTTGCAAATTAAATACTTCTTAAAAATTATTGATGCAAAGTAGGAAAACCTAATGTATTTAATCAGCATGAAAATCAAATCATTCTCTACAACAAATATATTACAGGCAGACATAATCTATCAGCGACTCAATGTAAAAACAATATTGCAAAATAAAAAACATTACGAGCACTATGAAAATAAGTATCATTGTTTCAAAGAAAAATAAAGATCCGCAATTCCTTAAGAAATACTGTACACGAAAAGGATGGTGTCTGCAAAGTTAGTTAAAAATCTAAAGGATCAATAATGCAAAGTAAAAAATCAGAAGATCAGTGTTGTAAAGTAAAAAACAAATCATAAAAAACTGAATACTGCAAAGAATCCTAGGCTAATAAAGTGAAATATTACCCACACTATGTATTTTGTCTCATTTTAAACGTTTGAAACATATTATGAATAAGGTCCACAGATTCTCAAAATAGGAGGTATGATATCTTATTTCCAAATGTTTGTTATTGTTAAATATATCGTCTGCAAATTTTCAGAGTGTTTCTAGTTTCAAAGAAAGTCCACCTTTGAATTATCAGAACTGAGTTGCAGTTCATAATTAAATTCTTGCTAAACAGGATTTGATTGTCTCATGTGCATTTTGTTGGCTGAATATTAAATGGACAAGTACACTTTACGAAGCTTTACAAGTTAGGGGATTTATTAATTTCAAAACCAAGACTCCCATTTTCATATAATTTCTCCTTTGGATTATTAATTCAAAATGTGCAAAAATAATAACTATATCAAACTTCAGCATTTAGCCATAGCGTTATACTGTACGGTATCAGCAGACGAAACAGTGACTAGCCTCAACAAATAAGCAGGCCTTAGGCTATAAATAACGTTGGAGATAATCAACTACCGTTATATCATACTTCCAAATAAACTCACTTTTATTTGCAGTTAGAATCCCAGACACAATACATCAACCCAGTGTTTCACTCAGTTAATTCTATTTTACCTCTAACACAATACATCATCCCAGTGTTTCACTCAGTTGCTTCTGTTCTACTTCAGACACAATATATCGTTCCAGTATTTCACTCAGTTACTTCTGTTTTACCTCTAACACAATACATCATCCCAGTGTTTCACTCAGTTGCTTCTGTTCTACTTCAGACACAATATATCGTTCCAGTATTTCACTCAGTTACTTCTGTTTTATCTCTAACACAATACATCATCCCAGTGTATCGACTTTAACGCCAGGGACTATCACTTTACCCCTTCTTCTACAAAAGCATTAAGAATTGTCTTTGGCTTATTGGAAAGTGTAAGTTTAAATATTCTTCATGAAGTAACTCTAGTTTCAACCAAACAAACATGACATCAAATTTAATAGAAAAAAGAGCTCCTTCTAATGCTCACACGTGTGTTGCTTAAATTTATCTCATTAGTTGCTGCAACAGGTCCTGGATTTCAAAAGCTCTTAGTTCTATTGTAGTTTCAAGCAAATGATGTACATCAACCAATGTTTTCTACTCTTCTATTTGCTAGATCACCAGAGCATTGGTTAAAAAGTACGTGAATACTTTTTAAACTACGCTTTGATGAAAGATTTATGTTTTTGGTCTCCAACCATATTTAAATTAATAAGGTGAAATTAACTATTCCTTTCGTTTCTGCTGAAATAAAACGTTGACTTAATGTAAACCAATCATCTTATTGTTTATAGTTATTGAAACTTCTTTCTTTTAACTTAATGATTAAAGAATTAAAAAGAAACTTAAACACTCAAAATGAGAATAATGTTATTTATCCCGTATTTTGATAAATTAGTAAATATAAGCTTTAGATAAAACCTACAAAACCATTATTTCTATTTTATGATGTGCATTATATGTTTTAATTTCGAACTCATTAAGAAGTTCAAGAACAAGCGCAATATTAATAGCTAAACCTGGAGGCAATTACTGTGATCATAGTTAGATCTTAAAATTAATCTTCTAACACAAGTTCAATCACATATTTTTGACTTTATTCCCTATTATGGTTTTAGTTTACCAACTGGTGCTCATCTACTCCAAATATTCTTTGGTGTACTGAAAACAAAAATAAATGGATTCGAATAAACTGCTCAATCTTAACATTAGCTATTAATTACGGTCAGCTTAGTTAATTAAGTATTTTAATATTAGCTATTAATTACGGTCAGCTTAGTTAATTAAGTATTTTAATATTAGCTATTAATTACGGTCAGTTAAGTTAATTAAGTATTTTAATATTAGCTATTAATTACGGTCAGCTTAGTTAATTAAGTATTTTAATATTAGCTATTAATTACGGTCAGCTTAGTTAATTAAGTATTTTAATATTAGCTATTAATTACGGTCAGCTTAGTTAATTAAGTATTTTAATATTAGCTATTAATTACGGTCAGCTTAGTTAATTAAGTATTTTAATATTAGCTATTAATTACGGTCAGCTTAGTTAATTAAGTATTTTAATATTAGCTATTAATTACGGTCAGCTTAGTTAATTAAGTATTTTAATATTAGCTATTAATTATGGTCAGCTTAGTTAATTAAGTATTTTAATATTAGCTATTAATTACGGTCAGCTTAGTTAATTAAATATTTTTGATATTATCTATTAATTACGGTCAGTTTAGTTAATTAAGTATTTTAATATTATCTATTAATTACGGTCAGCTTAGTTAATTAAGTATTTTAATATTAGCTATTAATTACGGTCAGCTTAGTTAATTAAGTACAGTTCAGTTTCACGAGTAACTGTCATTTTCAGATAGTTCATTAAAGTAAGTAACTTAGATACATTGTTCAATACATACTATGGAGAAACAAAAACTACCTGTTTAAGTAGGTGTTTGCTTTTACGAAGATTTAAAGCTCTTCTACTTGTTAGTATCTTTGCGGAAGAAGAAACTGTTTGTTTGACCTAATTTGTATGTCTCACCGAACTTACGGGTTTTCATAACATGTGGACTAAACCCCTGACCATAAAGTATAAAATTAGGTAAATGGTTGGTGAATTATAATATTAAGAAACGGTAACAAATAAAATACAACTCACTAGGGAAAGCTGCGAGACACAGTGTTACTTCAGGTTCTATTCTAATTCTAATTGCTTTTGACACATGTTTCTTTTATTGCCGTAGACCTTTACAATACTGTCAGTTAGCTACACATTCTTTTATCCTCTGCATCTTCAATGAAGTTAAATCTGTAAAGCTTGGTTTTTCTACCATTTTCACAATTAACAACTTAAGTTACTTTAATTTCTCTGCTTATTTTTAGGTGAAAGTCAAAGTGATGTGTTTGGAAGGTCCCAGAGACCTAGTCTTCAAGTCTGCTAGGACCTGCGATTGTTTCCACTGTAAGAAAGACTAGGGGATTAGCTGTGTTTGTGAAGATCCATGACTGACGGAAAACAGAGTATTTTCAAACTACATGTATCTTAGTGTTCTTGTAAAATAGTGACACCAAGACTTCTTAAACCTTTTACCTGATCTAGTGTGCATCATGAAAAAAATATATACATATTCTAAATTATTTAACAATTAGATTGTTTACTAAAGTTGGGCCGGTTCAAAAAGGATTGAATAATTTAATATAACTAGAACGAGTTAACATGACCTTGAAAGTTATTAATCAAATACTTGTTCTGAAAATTTTGAAGAATTTACATATATACATATAATTTACATACACATATATATCTCTGCTGTATTATAAGGTTTTTAAATTAATTCATTTTACTGTTGCATAACACCTTATCTGTTTTACTTCAAAATCAATGCGAAAACAAATAAAACACCCTTTTCATCTAATCCTGAAAGCCTGTGAATACTCTGGTACCACTAAATTAAAAATTGATGAGATAACAGGGATGTAAATTATCATACGGAGACTGGATTAATGTTAATTGTCTTTCCTTCATTAAAAACATATAGCAACGTATTACTGTTAGTAATAATAAAAGTTTATTCTATTTCACTAATATCAATGTACGTATAAGTGCGTCTGGATAAAAACAAGAGAACTTGCGGCTTTAATTATGTATGTCGTAGTTAAATATTACCACGAATGTTTGAAATTTGGATAAATATACTCGTATCAAATTGTGTGTGTGCCTTTTTATTGCTAAAATAGGACAATGAATTTGGGATTGCTCTTTCAAAAAACAACAACTATAAACACGAACAAAATAATCATCAACTATTGTGAAAACTGAAATGAACGAAAACATACGTATAAATGTAAGATAATACAAAACTTGTGAATGATTTAATTTGTCTGAACTAAAAGAAAACATTTTCCCACGAGTAGTCGTAAGTTACGATTTTTTAAATAACATACATTAGATTCATATAAACTGAGAAATTACAGTAAAGAACACAGCAACATCAGTAGACTTTGAAATCATGAGACTTTCTGATTTACGTGGCACACTGATTAGAGTAACATAAATATTGGTATAACATTTCAACAGGATCGTCTGACTCGTATACTGTACACTGTGACTTTCTGATTCACATGACATAATAATTAAGACCAAAACCCACAAGGACGTCTGTAGAACATCATATCAGCATTATTTGATTCACATGATATAGTATTTAAGGCGACAGTATCGTCGGTAGATCATGATATTTGCATAATGTGTTTTATGTAATACAGTAATTAAGGCAATAAGACCAAAAGTACTTTGGTAGATCATGACATGAGCATTATGTGATTCACATGATATACTACTTAAAGCCATAAAACCACAAAAACTTCGGTAGATAATGAGATTCACGTGACATAGTAAATAGAGACATAAGATCATCGATAGACCATATTGTCAGGACTCCCTGATTGACATGCTAAAATGATCAAAGATACAAATTGGTAGACAACGATATAAGGACTCTCTGATGCATATGATACAGTCATTAGGTATGCAACAATATCTTGACATTCCAGGTCAATGTAATCTTGTGTCTTGGGAGAACAAAGTCATAGATTAACATGTAAAATTAACAGAGCTCAACTTGTTCGTACAGGTGTCAGTGTAATCTTGTCTCTTGGGAGAGTAACGTTATCAACAAGCATGCAAAATTAACAGAGCTAAGTTTGTTCACGTTATAAATCAAAGTGTAAAATTACCAGAACTCAGCTTGTTCACATAGATGTCAATGTAATCGTGTTTTGGAAGAAGAATAACGTAAAGTGTTATACTAACTATTATTGACAAAAACGAAAAACTGAGGTCTAGGTGTGAAATAATTTTAGATAAAAGTATACGATGCAAATTCTTTTAAATAGCACGTACTTTTATCGTTGTTACAAGTTCATACGCCTCCGTTTTGTTGTTTTTAATCGTTGTTACAAGTTCATATGCCACTTTGTTATTGTTTTTAAATCGTTGTTACAAGTTAATATGCCACTTTGTTATTGTTTTTAAATCGTTGTTACAAGTTAATATGCCACTTTGTTATTGTTTTTAAATCGTTGTTACAAGTTAATATGCCACTTTGTTTTTAATCGTTGTCACAAGTTAATATGCCACTTTGTTTTTTAATCGTTGTTACAAGTTCATATGCCACCTTGTTGTTTTTTAATCGTTGTTACAAGTTCATATGCCACCTTGTTGTTGTTTTTAAATCGTTGTTACAAGTTCATATGTCACCTTGTTGTTGTTTTTTAATCAACAAGTTTTACAAGTTCATATGTCACCTTGTTGTTGTTTTTTAATCAACAAGTTTTACAAGTTCATATGCCACCTTGTTTTTGTTTTTAATCGTTGTTACAAGTTCATATGCCACCTTGTTGTTGTTTTTTAATCGTTGTTACAAGTTCATATGTCACCTTGTTGTTTTTTAATCGTTGTTACAAGTTCGCATGCCACTTTGTTGTTGTTTTTAAATCGTTGTTACAAGTTCATATGTCACCTTGTTGTTGTTTTTTAATCGTTGTTACAAGTTCATATGCCACCTCGTTGTTGTTTTTAAAACGATTTCTCTTCTTCAATATTTATTCCCATGGAAAGCTAACTGAGAAACTTAAATATCCAGCATTTCGCATAAATCTATAAATCGTCTAAAAATCAAAGCTTGTATATTTCTAACGCTGTACAAAGTGAGAAAGCGTTATTTTTGTCAAGGTTTTACTTAAGTAACGAACTCATTTCCTGGTTTAGTTTATAAATTGGTTTCACTTTAATACTATTCAAGTGGCATTGCTTATCAGGGTTCGCGCCTCTCTCTTTATAGATGGGTATACAATCATGTCTCTTTGTGTTTGCTAGACTACAGAGAACAAGTAGAGTAAAAGAACTCACCCTCGCTTTGATCTGTTCTGGGGCAATATAATACCTGCTCAGTTGTGATCAAGAGTTTGTGGTTTATTGAGAGCAGACACAATACTTACCCTTCAAACGTTACTAATATTAACTAGTTTCTATTCTATAAAACGTATTAAACTGATTACTTAGAGGTTGTAATAGCAAGATTTCCTTACGTAACGTCTATTGTTTCGTCATGCCCATTTCTCTCAAGGGATTACAAACAAAGAAGATGCATAACAAATATAAGTAAATTCCGTCTAAGTGTATATTAGTTGTTAACTTATTTATTTGTGTTCACTTGGGAAGATACAGTCATACAAAAAGGGTAATTCCATCTGTTGACTTAAACAAAAAAGCTAACAATGCCAATATTACATAATACTGTCATCTACTCGTCCGCTTGTAGGTGATACAATACAACTTTTGAAATAGACGTTTTCAGCGACCTTTGTATTCTTTTTTTTTTCCAGCAAGAGTACGTCTATTACAAACGACTTTTTTTTAATCAAAATGAAACTCCTGAATGTTTTACATATTATGATCAACGGATAATTTCCACACAATATCTACCAGTGATCTATTTCATGTCTAGTTCGTATCTGCACACGTAACATAACCTACCAGCTTACCAAAAGGTAAGAATGTAATTCGTTGTCGATTTTAGAAAAATAGTATGAATTATTTGAAAGCACCATTATTATTTTATTTCTGGCAACAGCAATATTATGAATTAGAAATTAATTTGTTCAATTGTTGAAAATGATCAGGTAAAACGTTAACGATCTGATCGAACAACAGGTGAATGACGTCATTACAGTTTCTATAAAGAATTGGAGCTCAAGGAAATCTCTAACTGTCTTCCATTGTTCTATTACTCTATGAAAAACTATGCGTTAGTTCTTTCGCCTTTGCCTTTAAACGATAACCTCTTCTCGATATGCTCTTTTTAAAGCATTTGAAAACTTGTTCAGGTAAAAAAAACTATGAGATGGGACCTGCTGTCATCGGTAAAATTAACATTGTGGTTGATGAACTTATAATATGAGATGGGACCTGCTGTCATCGGTAAAATTAAAATTGTGGTTGATGAACTTATAATATGAGATGGGACCTGCTGTCATCGGTAAAATTAACATTGTGGTTGATGAACTTATAATATGAGATGAGACCTGCTATCATCGGTAAAATTAACATTGTGATTGATGAACTTATATTTATTTTCATCAATAAATTGATCAATTTGTCGATCTTGTCTCGCAGTCTAAAAAACGATCATCTGCCAACTAGCTTAAGGCTATTACTATTTCTATCAGTCTGTCTATAAAAATGTGGACAGTTGTATACTATATCTGTATACAGATATTAGAAGATAATGAATGTAGTTGAAACCACATAAATCGTGATCGAAAAAAGTTGCAAAAAAGCACAAAGTTTTTCTTTAATGTTTATCAAATCATACTTTAGAATTTAAGTTACAGTTATTAGGGCGTCTATCAATCCGTGACATCAGTATATATATATATCCATGATTCAACTTTCTAATAATTCAATAATGATATTGTACAACGTTAAGTACTATTATATTATACTCGTAATACTTCACTCACTAAATACATACACATTTAAATAAGTACAACTTTAAACCATATGAATATACATGACATTAAAACACGAGTTTAATGTCCATATCCGTTGATATAAGACATCTTTGCCAAAAAAGCATGAAATGTGTGAGTTTTGAGAAAGGGACTCTATTGGTTGTATTTGATGTAGTTACAGATATGTAGTATGTATTTGTTTGGTTTTGATGTATAGTCTTTTACTCACCGTTAATATCGTAAAATACTTTAGGAGTTTGTATAACATTAATTATCCATTATTATATAGCGAACTAACTGGTTACTTATTTATAGTGGTGGATTGATTGATTAATTGTTTTGTTGTTAAGCACAAAGCTCCACAAAGGGTATCGAAACCCGCTTTCTAGTGTCATAAGTCCGCAGACATATCGTTGTGCTACTGGGGGGGGGGGCTATAGTGGTGGAATGAGGCCTATTTTATTTATTTGCTTTGCTCTTCCAAGAGGTATTGATAAGCCGTTGATTCAGCAAAAATAATTTGTTATTTTTCTAAATCTACATTTTAATAGAAAGTACTGTGTAGGTGAGACTGTTTCCACGTGTACTTCAAATGTTTTATTTTACCTGTTGCTACTAGAGAGCATTAGACATCCTAAACTGTTTAACTAAACCAGGTATCAACTGGATTTAACTATAGCACGGCATTACAAGGTATTCTAAACTGTTGCTACACGCCGCGTAGTGTCTTATTTCGCACAAGCTAAATGCCTGTCATATGACAGGAAATAATGATTAATTTTTCTTCTCAAAATTATATTTCTATATCGTAAAAGATGTTTTATGAACATGTTTTCTAAAAATTAATTATAATTTAGTCGCAACATATGTATGGAGAATGACTATGCTTTTTCTAGTATATCACTAAATCAACATTTTTTATGTATATTTGGTCATCTTCTTTAAGTATTGCTTCATTAGCATTTTGACTTGTGTTCATTTTTAAGTTATCTTCAAATGTTCTTCTTGATAAATTCTTATAGACTGAAACAAGCGAAAAACTGACTTTCAAAGACATATTCATACTTGATCATCTGTATGACCCTGCAACTTATTAATTGTGATGGTAAAGACAGTGAATTATATTATGCATTTTGGGGTCTTTTTTTTGGATTGTCTTCCTGGTTTTGGCTTTGTTAATCTGCTAATCTGA